TCAACCTTTTACATATTCTCTATGGCTTTCCCTTGCTCAACTTTCTGTACATTAGGTTTGTATATTAGCAACTTGTGATAGGAAGTAATTGCGGCCTTCATGCAAACAAACTTCTAAAAACAGCACTGCTGAGTGTGGTGCTTTTTTTAAACAGATGTTAAAGAATGAGTTTTCCAAAGGAAACAGCTTCTACTTGTAGAATGTGCTACTTTCTGTGGTGTGAGCACTGTAGCCATTGTCAATTTCAAGCTAAGGTAATTCACTAAAGGCAAAACTAGAGACAGCATGTTGTATAGTATTTCCATCATTGAGATGTATCAGAAATGTAGCTAAGATAACTCTCCAAACTCAGAACTAGAAAGAGACAGCAGGTTATATAGTATTTCCATCACAGAAATGTATCAGAATTGTAGCTAAGATAACTCTCTAAACTCGGAACTAGAAAGAGACAGCATGTTGTGTAAACACAGAACTAGAACTAGAGACAGCAGGTTGTATAGTATTTCCATCACAGACATGTATCCGAAGAAAACATAGTAAAATTGGAAGTGGTGAGTTTAAATATCATCTTTTGAACGATGTTTACTCATAAGTTACTTATTCATCTCCTTTTGTGTAGGGATCTGACAGAGGGCTTCACACATGCAGGATAAATGCCTTTTCACTGAGATGCACTCCAGCCTTGGGCTTTACTCTTTTTTGCGATCATCCTGTCTAACAACTAGTTGGTGACATTTGGCTCCAACACATGCTGCCCTGGTTCACCTTCTCCACCATCCCTCTACTGCATGCTGGACAGTTTACGCCAATCTCTTCTACGAGAAACCACAAACTCAACAGACTGAAATCTAAAATGCTTTCCTCTTTGAAATTCCTAATGCACAGGTCTCCTTCCCTCTTGACTTCACTATGTCTATTAACTGGGTCTCCAGTTGTTTCAATGGGTTACGGACTCTTTTCAAAGGCTGCGCATAGGCAATGCTCTCTAATACGCCCCCTTTTCATTTCAGTTGGGCTATTGTCCTCCTGCAGACCAACTGACTGGCCTCTTCTCTTTCAGGCTCCTTTCACTCCAATCTGACAATTACTGTGTTAAATTAATATTCCAAATGCTCAGCTCTTATAATCTAGCTTGTCAATTCAAAACACACACAGAGAGACACAGAGAGATGCACAGAGAGACACACACGGACGCACGCACACACTCAGACACCGCTGGTCTTCAAAGCTCTCCTTAGGCCTCCTAACTGGAAAGCTCCATGATCCCTAAGCTTGGAGCATGTCCTGTGATTTGTGATTCAGTTCTTCTGCCCAAGTCACTCTCCTTCTTCCTGTTCCTAGAAAGACTCAAACCTTTGATTCAAGACTCAGTTCAAGCATTGTTACGGGGACATATAAATCAAATTGAAGTCTGCAGAATAGAAACAAACAAGGTAGGCCTAATCCAGTAATCACTGAAAGATGCATTTGCTCACCACCCTTTCTGGAAGCTCTGTGACCCATAGTGCACTGAGGCAGTACTTGCTTCATTGTTAGGATTAAAATGCTTGCTGGGAGTCAGCATGAGGTTTATCTTCAACCTAGGGATTCCAATTATACATGCCACAGCTGTTCTTCATTACCTGACGGCACCAGGAATTGTCTGTATTCTAACCATTTGGTATTGACTGTAATTATTTCTCTTTTAATAAAGCTGTGAGGAAACTGGGTTGAGGGGGTGGGAAAGGTGGGTGGTAGAGACCTGGGACCCCTGGACCCAGGGCTGTGACTAGCAGTGATAATGTTCGCCTTGAGCTGCTGATTTGATATTAAAGATCAGCAGCAAAGCATTGGGAATTCAGATCTTTTCTATACCCTTTTTCCTTTAGCCTTCCTCCAACGTTGAGGGTCAAGTAAAAATGGTCCCGAAGCTTGTTTTTGTGAGAGGGCAAACCACAAAGGCCTGCAAGGGACCAGCGATTCCTTTGCCTTTGTGTTTCAGATAAGAAGCTAAGCAAATAGCTTGGCACAGCCCTCTTGGTCATTGACACTAGTTCTCCTATGAAGATGAGCTATGGAGAGCTGGGACACTTGGCACAGGAAAGATGCAAGGCCGTGGGAGAAAACCAGCCAAGGTGGACACATCTGAAATTGCCATTAGTGGTCCAGAGATGTCTCCCAGGAACACTGTTTGAACACTTGCTGAAATGCGGGGTATCTGGTACTGCCCCAAGCCCACTGAAACAGACTTACGGGTCAGATCAGGACCATGCATTTTTGTGTGGGTGTAGCCAGCGATCCTGATGCACGTTCACGACTGAGAATCAGCACAGCCTGCCAGTGGACAACAACCTTTGAGGTTTAGAAAGAATAATAATAGTAAGGTTTTGTTGTTTTACATCATTAGGGTTTGGAGAGAAAGAGGAGGAACAGAATAAGGCAGGGAACGGAAGAAAATACAGAACAATCATCAAGTCTAAAACTTTTCTTTTTTAACATCTCGTCCTTTACAGAAACATTTTCTTACCTGTGTGGAGCATCCCAACGAAAAGGATGTACCTGAACTTAGTCCTATCCCTGTCCTGCCACAGCTGAAACACGCGGTTTATGAGAGTATAAAAACAAATAAATGAATAAAAGGTGAGAGTGGCAAACATAAAAAGTTATTATCTAAAATACATTTACCATTCTTATGAGTGGAGGGAGAAATACATAAATACAGCCACAGCAAGCATTCTGCAAAAACTTTAAAAACACTTTTTCACCCAGACAGGAGTTTTAATGGTGATATTTGAATATTAGGGATTCCCAACGCCACATACATAAAAAAGTACAAAGGCATTTAAGAAAATGTGAAATAAGTATTTTTTCTACTTAAACATTTTCTTTGTTTGTTTTTAAAGGAATTATAAAGTAGGTATACCTCCTAAGAACTTTGTGGAGGAAAGCTGTGAAATCACTGTAAGAAGGGCTCAAAGACTCAGGTGGGGAAACCATTTCAGTTAGACGCAGAAAGTAACACCAAGCCAGACTACCATTCCTTTACGGTTAAGCAGCTCCTAGACGTTTGTCATAGATTTGTAAATGTTTATTGTCGGTGTGCAGGAAACTCATGGTGGGATCTATACATCAGCACTGGCTTCACGTCCATATGAACCTGCAAGGGACTTGCCATGGTGAACTGTGAACTGAAGCTTCAACCCCCAGCAACTTTGTTTTCTTCTCTCCTGAAGAAAAGGTTGTGAAAACTTAGGAGCCACCAAACTGCTCTGAATCGTTATGAATCTTTTTCATAAAGATTGAACTATATACCCAGGTTTAAGAAGCAACGTTTCAAACACCAGATAAAGTCTTGAAACCCAGCTTGCCTCACCATTTAACAAAATTATGACTCATTTCAGTAAGAATGTGCTTTTTTAGTAAGAAAAAAAAATGCTTTCTGAGCTAAGTTTGAACTGCTAGGGCACTTGGGACACTCACAAACCCAGTCAGCAGAAGTCTCAAACTCCTAAAAGATTAAAGGAAAAATAAATTGGCGTGTATTGAGAATGAAAAGAAAAAAAAATCCCCAAGGGTACTGATTTATAAACAGAAGTAACGCTGAAACTCCCCTGAAATCCCCCAATTGCCAATCCTTATAAATTCAGCACCGAGCACTTTTCTCCTCTGGGAACCTATAGTTAAGGAAACAGGAATGCCTTTGCTGACTTACAGCTGGTAAAAACTTCAAAGCACACCCACCATGACACTGACTCCATCCGGCACTGTGTGGCTCAGTGATTCTCAACCTTCCTAATGCTTGCGACCCTTTAATACAGTTCCTCACACTGTGGTGACCCCCAGCCTTAAAATTATTTTCGTTGCTACTTCATAACTGTAATTTTGCTACTGTTATGAATCATAATGTAAATATCTGATATGCAGGATATCTGATATACGGACCCTTGTGAATGAGTCCCTAGACCCACCGGTTGAGAAACGCGGGTTTAGGTTTTAAAATCATCAGTGCAAACGTGAGATTTCCTGAGAAATGCTAGGGGTTGGTTGGTTGAGATCCAGTGGATATGTCCAGCAGGTGTGTGATGTTGAAGCCTAGCGCTGGAGGCAGAGGTACCAGGGGTGGGCGCCGCCAGGGGTGGGTGGGGCCGGGACTTGGTGTCTAACAGAGGGAGGAAAGGCCTGCGTGCGACAAAATGTAAGTGGTGTGTGGGCTGCAGGATCGGGGAGGAGACCGAAAGATGAGCCCGGGGCCCTATCTGTCAAAGGCCATAACCACAGGTCGTCCTGTATTTAGTATCCTTTGTCACTTATGAATGAATTTAAGATGTCCCTTTAAAACTAAAAGTGGAAAAATAGACCTAGCCAAACATCTTTAGGGGGGAAAAAAGTATGTTCCCTTTCTCTATCTAACCGGTCATCATACAATCGCACCGTTCCTGGGTGGGTGGGTGGGGGACAGATTAATGCCCTCTCTCCCGGTGGGGGGTCCAACCCTCAACTCAGATGTTTCCCCCACCCATCCGGGTGCCAGCTAGTGGGAAAGCGCTGCTGGTTCGTGCCGGGGAGCCCTGGAGCCTGCGGAGTGGAGTGACCGCGTTGCGCGGCTGCCACAGCCCCCAAAAACCGCATCAGCGGGACCGGGCGTGGGTCGGCGCCATCCGGGCCAACGAGCGGGGTTTGCACAGGAAAAGGCGCCGCGGCGGGCCCGGGTCACCCCTCTGCAGCTCGGGCTCCCCGCCCGCCCGCCGTCCCAGCCTTGCTACGCGCCAGGAGCAGCACCGCGGCGCGAGAGGCGACTGGGAGCGGCGGCCAGGCGGGCTGCAGCTCAAGCGACCGCGGAGGCGGCGGGCAGGGCGCGTGCGCACTGCAGGGGCGCCAGATTTGGCGGGAGGGGGAGTGTCCAAAGCTCTTTGTTTGATGGCATCTGTTTACAGAGTTACACTTTAATATCAACCTGTTTCCTCCTCCTCCTTCTCCTCCTCCTCCTCCTTCTCCTCCTCCTCCTCCGTGACCTCCTTCTCCTCCCCTTTCTCCTGAGAAACTTCACCCCGGCCGTGCGGAGCTCCGCTACGCAGCCGGGGAAGGAAGCAGGCAAGGCGGAGGGCAGCGGGAGGCGGCAACCAGTGCGGTCCCCGGGGCTCTTCGCGGAGCCCCGGCCCGCCTCGCCATGGCCCGGAGACCCCGGCACAGGTAACGGGGAGCCTGGGCGGGCGGCCTCGGGCAAGGGCGCGCGGAGATCCAGGCACCTGGGAGCAGGTGGGAATTCCATCCCAGATTGTTTGCGGGGCTGTCAGTCGGTACCTTGGTGGCAGAAGCCACTCTGGAAGTGGATGAATGGAAAACTCTGTAAGGAGTGCACCGGTTCAGTGGGAAGCACCTCCAGAGGCTCATTCCCCCCCCCCCCCGCAAGTTGCTTGGGGATAGGTTTCTCTTTCGGGGAGAGGAAGAAAACCCGGCACGTTTTCAGCCAAGGACAGAACGGTTCCATCAGACCTGGGGAGCCCACCAGGTGTTTGGCTTGATGCCCCAGTGTCGGCGAGGGAATCGTAGCCTAATTGCTGAATGCATTGAGATGTTTTTGCACTTGGATTTGAAGAGCATATGGCAAATATAGGAAAAGGCCGGATTGTTTAGTGGCTGCAGGTAGTTCATTTACATTTCATTCATTCATTATGGAGGCAAGAAAGGTGTCAGCTGACAGGCTGCTGCAAAGATTTTAGGCGGATAAAATGGGTTTGCCGATTGTTTCCAACCCTGTTTTTGAAGGTGCGAGTACTTGTTCTGGGAGAGGCTTTTATTTCTACTGCAAGCATTGCACGCGCCCGCGTCGCACATGTCACCGCACTCGTCCGGGAGATGGGTGCAATCCTTTTCCATTTCGGCCCCACGTTTGGGACGAGAGATCAGAAACAGAAGGGAGCGCTCGTCGGAACTGTCAGTTGCTGGTAGCTTAGGTCCTGCCGACCTCGGGATTTCCCGAGGACACACGGGGCTCCCAGCGAGCAACGGATGCGGGGGCTTGACTCGGTGGCGGTCGTCACTGGGCGCAAAGTGCTGGGAGGTCAGCGGCACCCAAGGCAGCTGCAGCGTCCCCGGGGCTACGTCGCCGCAGCTCTTCTGGCCGGAGAGAGGTACAGGCGCCCCGTGCACACGTGGACGCAGCTGAGGTCGCCGCTGCTCCCTGCACTCCGCTTCAGTTGCCTCAGGTATCCCGCCTTTGGCAAGGTCACCGGACGGCCCTAGTGAAACACACACACACACACACTCGCACACACACACACACACACACACGTCTATCCGCCCGCCTTTCCACCGGTGGTTTGATTTTTGTTAAACTTAATCTGGTTTTTTGGAACGAACAGGTACTGGCCCTGCAGGGCGCGGGCTCTGGGAAGTCGCAAAGAGCGTGGGCGTGGGGCCCTGCAGCGCACCCTCGGGCTGGGCCAGGCGGGGAGCGGCAAGCCTCTGGGCGTCGGAACAAGAGGGGGGTGAATTGGGGAGACCTTGGATCTTGGCTCCCAGTGCCTGGCCCCAGGCCTGCTGTGCCGGTCCAAGTGCCACCCCTTAAGACGTTTTGCCTTTCGCTTTTGGGACCTAAACCGACAGCAACCGGGTCACCTGTTGAAAGCTGAAACTTGCACCGGGGGGAGGGAGCTGGGAAAGGGTGCTCGGAGGAGGCGCGGCCCAGGTTCGGAGCCTAAAGGTTTTGTCTGCACGGGGCGTGGCCGCGCAGGTTCCCTGAGGTTCCCAGGTAGTCCGGAGTGGGGGGGGGGGGTGGCGAGGAGGGGCGGGAGCCTTGAACTTGGCTCAGGGGGAAGAGAAACCCGGCTGCGGGCTCAGAGCCGTTTCTTGCAGGGCGAGTGTCAACTCGGCAGGCATTATTAACCAGGTCAGCGAAATGAGTCTGAACCCCTTTTCTAGAATCGTGTAGCGGCCACAGACACTTCCTCCCGTTCCCCTCCCTCTTCCCAACCCCCAGCAACTCTTTTTCGTTTCTTTGCACGGTTTGTTTCCTTGATAGAATGTAATATTCATAGTTGTACTCTTGTAACCACACAGGCTCTCGCAGGTGGAGGAGCCGAGAGCATCTAGCCTGAAATCAGCCTTTGAAAGTCCTTTGACTGTTGGGTCTGAGATCTTGTCAGAGCAGATAAAGGAAAAGTTATTTCTGGTCCTTTGTCGAAATTAATCATGCTACTGAGGCGACCAGGTCATTTTAGGGCAAGGAAATCGCATGCAAAGCTCGAAGGCGAGCCCCTTGCCAAGGCTGGACTCGCCCTACTGCCTCGAATAGCAGCCCTTCAGGAGCTGCAAGAGTCACCTGCCACGTTTCACCCCCCAAGACTTTGGCTTTGCACATCGGTTCGGGGCTTGCTTTGTAAGAGGCACGGAAGACAGTGGAGACATGCGCTCTGGAAAGTACCTTATAAAATAGAATCCACTCCCTAATGTATAAGACAGGATTCACGAGAGGGAGAGAGATTTGTCCAAATCAAACAACTAGGTTCAGACAGGACTGGGACTGGTAGAGCTTTGCTTCCAGAATCCCTAGTCCTGTGAGCCCAATTCTCCCTCATCTAACTCTCGACTGCCCCCTGTGGGCGACTGAGTCTGTTGCTTTTTTTTTTTTTTTTTTTTTTTTTGTTAAAACTTTGAGCAGAGGAAAACCCAATTATTTGCTTGGAAAATGTCCCCAGTTCTGAGAGCTGCAGCTCCAGATCTCGCCAAACCTAAAAGGCGAATCTAATGAGAGTTAAGTATGTGGCTCCACTTGCAGATCCCGTTGGCGTGCTTGCTATCCTGGTGCTTCGCGGAAGGCTGCTTCATTTGGAAGGCTTTCCCAGCAGTTCCATAGCAAAAGGGAATCGTCACCTGAAGATGCTGACTTTACAGTTTGGGGCTTATAATTTTCGTTCTTTCGTTTTGGCTCTATAGCACTGTGTTGTATATGAAGCGGAAGTTTTTAATTATTATTGTTCAGAAATTATTTACTGTCTCTTGTTTACTGTAGGAAACAAAGCTGTTTTTGGTTCAAAAGGTTGACACTAAGTGGGAAAAAATGATTGCACATCAAGAATACAGTTTAGTGGGATTTTTTTGGGGGGGTGATGTTATATTAAGATCACATCCTGCCACCATGCAACCTGAACCATCAGCTTGTTGCCCAAAATAATAGTTTTAAACGATGAGAATCATTATTCAGGGATTTGGTGACACTTCTGCTTAACTGGTAGGGGGGCTGGAAACACACATGTAGTGAGTTAGTTCTGGAAGACACAACCTATTATGAATGTAAGTTTGCTTTTTAAAAGTAATTTTCATATGATATTGTTTTTTTATCATTTTATTGGACTGACTTTGGTGGGTTTTTTTTTTTTTTTGGTTTTACAATGGTGAATTTCAGTGAAGTTGTTAAGTGTGTCATTTTTCATATCTTAAGTTTTATGGAGAATGATAAGTACGATTAGACTGCTAATTATTCTGTGTATGATTGATAAGTTTGGAGTTACTTAGGCCGTCGTCAGAATCCACAATGTTACTCAACTCAGTAAAGGAAAAGCTGTTTTGAAAACAGTATTTTTTTTAACCTGTAGATCTTGTTTGGGGGGAACCCCTTGGTTTTTAATTAGTTACATTGTAAGATATTTTAGACACCATTTAGTCAGAGACAGAGAAAACAAGAGTAAGTAGGATTCTGACTAGTCAGTACCTTAGTATTGTGCTTAGTTACTCTGGGAACAGTTTTGTAAACACAGCCACCAGTTGGGCCGACTAGACCTTGAGTTTTGAATGATTTATGTTAATCAGAAAGCAGACTGATGGCTGTATCCTTTCCCAGGTTTTGAAACCATTCCTGCTTAATTTTTTTTCTAATATTATGTATGGACTTTGATCGCAATTATGCTTTTGAATGTATGATGTCTTGATTTTTTTTTTAGTCTTATTTAGTGGAATACCAGCTCTATTAGGACATAATTGTTTCGTTGTGATCAGAAACTATTTAAATGATTTGACATATGCCCAAGAGTTTGAGTATGCGCTTGTAGAAAGGACATAGGCTCTTGTTCCTTTTATTGTCCTTAGCACTGAGCTTCACGCTCAGGCGTCCATTGGCTGGGCGGCTGCCAGATGTGTAACTTGTCGCTGGTCTAACAGTAACAGCAGGTTCAAACATGCAGAGCGATGGAAAGTGCCAGGGCTTCTGGTGTCTCTGTGGATACCAGCAACAGCAGAACCAGTTTACAAACACTACAGCAACAGAATGCCGACAACAGGCACATTGCGCAAGTGTGCCAGGTTTTGTCTTGGTGGACTTTGGAGAGCTTTTGTGTGAGTTTCATAATCCAGTAGCCTAGATCCTATGCTTTCAGCCCATGTCTGTCCCTTCTTATTTCTGCAGCATATACAGTAGCGATGAGGACGATGAAGACATTGAGATGTGTGACCATGACTATGATGGGCTGCTTCCCAAGTCTGGAAAGCGTCACTTGGGGAAAACTAGGTGGACCAGGGAAGAGGTAACTAGTCATTTTTATCAAGACATACAAAGAGAAATGAAGAGTGTGTAGTTGGTGAAAACTGAAAATGTAGCTAAGTTACATGTGCTCGTCTGAAGACTCTTGGTGTGTTTACCCTGCCATGCCGGACAGAAGGTTCCCCTCACCCTCACCTCTGCCAATGTGTTCCTTCTGCTATCTGTTTCCAAATCATGTGTTGTTCTTTGAGTGTTCCCAGCTTTCCCCTTTATGCTTGGCCTGTCGATTTCTCATTCTGGAGCCCCACCACTTTTTATGCCTTTTCCTTATATCTTAACAGATCGTATGTCCTGTGAAACTGTTACTGGCTGCTATCTTTAAGGCTGGATGCACCCTCTGTGTACCCATGCCACTGAGTGCCTTCTTTTTTTTTTTTTTTTTCTTTTAAAGTATTTTAATTTATTTATTTATTTATTAAACATTTCTGTCTCTTCCCCACCGCCGCCTCCCCTTTCCCTCCCCCTCCCCCAACAAAGCCCCCCTCCCTCGTCAGCCCAAAAAGCAATCAGGGTTCTCTGCCCTGTGGGAAGTCCAAGGACCACCCACCTCCATCCAGGTCTAGTAAGGTGAGCATCCACGAAACTGCCTAGGCTCCCACAAAACCACTAGGTCCAGTAGAATCAAAAACCCGTTGCCATTGTTCTTGAGGTCTCAGTAGTCCTCCTTGTCCGCTATGTTCAGCGAGACCAGTTTTGACCCAGGCTTTTTCAGACCCAGGCCAGCTGGCCTTGGTGAGTTCCCGATCCCCATTGTCTCAGTGTATGGGTGCACCCCTCCCAGTCCTAAAACACCATCCTGAGTGAGGTAAGCCAGACCCAAAAAGAGGAACATGGAATGTTCTCACTCATATTTGGTTTCTAGCCATAAATAAAGGACACTGAGTGCCTTCTTGACTTCACTGATGTTTCTACGTGTATGTCTTTCCCAACACGCTGCAAATCTCTCGAGGGCTGGGATTAAAGTGTCTCTTTATCTTTATCAAAATCACTTGCTAAAATGTAGGATAGTAACAAATGTTCCCTGGAAGAAAATTAATGCATTCCTTTTTTTCTAAGCTGAAACAGTCATAGAATTCATCGTGCCATAATATATTCATCTAATTTTCTCTACATATGATGCTTCACAGACCTATGTGTGTGAAAGGTTATTCTAAAGACATCCAGTAACGGGAGAAGATATGCCCACTTCTTTCTAGAACAAAACCATTAACCTGTGAAGAAAGGTTTCTTCTTGACTGAACTATGGAATTCATTGTGTTCTAAACCTGGAGGCTCCTGAGAGCAGGTGGACAAGACTCCCAGGGGGGCGCCTCGGAAATGCATGTTCCACCTGTCACGAGGCTGCCCCCCCCCCAGGATATCAAAGTTTTGTTGTTTACCATGGTTTCCCATTCCTGTCTGTCCTGGTCATTATGTGTGAATGGCATCTTTGCAGGACCCTAGGAAAGCTATGTTTGTAAAGGCACGTGTGGTGGCCAGTGTATGGGCTGATAGAGCCGACTGCCTGAGAACGTTTAGTGTCTTCATTCATAAACTCTGGCCATATTGAAACAAAACCTTAGTGGCCTTACTGAATTAAATACACCTCTGAGTGAAACATGTAAAATATCTTCGGCTTCTGTACGAAAAAGATTGAGCTAGGGGGAAATCATCTCCCCCATAGTCTCTTCTCTTGCCCTGGTTGAACGGCAACTCCGTTTAACACTGGAATTCCCTTTCCCCCATTCAATAAAAGTGTCAACAGTTACCATCTACTAAACACCAGCACATGCCAGGCTTCACTGTTTTGCATAATGGTATTGTGTAATCTCCAGATAACCCTGTTGGTACTACCATTTCTATTTTATAGATGACAATAGGAATCTGTTTATATAACCATGCAACAGTGGTGTCAAAGTTAAAGCTTTAGTGTGTTTGTAAATGAATCTATGTTCAGACCAGCATAGTACATTAATATTGGCTTTATTGGGATGCTTTTGGAAGCTATTTTTTTTTGCATTGGATCATGAAGTTGGTTCCTTTGTCCATTATAACTTGAACAGAGCTATTCAGTAGACAACTGATATCCTAGCGTTGCCTTTAAATGCCCTAGGATGAAAAGTTGAAGAAGCTGGTGGAGCAGAACGGAACAGATGACTGGAAAGTGATCGCCAATTACCTGCCGGTAAGTTGGCTCTTGTTTCCTTTTATGACAGAAAAACCTCCTCTGGATTTAAAGAAAAAATCTTGGAGAATTTATTAAGATACTATGCATTTGTTCATGTAGATGTAAGGAGGGCAGATCCAGCCACCATTTTTATTACTGACTATACAACACATAATTGAGGTTTCTTAATATGCTATCCAGAGATTTTGATTTTATTTCCAAAAATTGCTTCTTGTTTTTGTTTTAATTTATCCTGATAATGTAAGTTAACATTCTGATGGATTGTTACAAGACAGAGTTTTAAACTTGGCATTTTCTCCAAATTAATTCCTAAATTTCCCATTTTTCTCAAAGACACATTGTTTGGTATATGGATTTAAGATTCTAGCCTGCCTTTGGAATGATACCCTCTCATCTAAATGCTGAGTCGGGAACCTAGGATTCCTTTACAATCCTTCTCATCCTTTTAGTTCCTATGTTCTGGCCACAGGGTGGCCGCCCTGCCCTCTCTATTACAATCGCTTCCTACCTTTTCACGTGTCCATCAGTTCCAAACGCTATCAGCTGATAGAGCTTCCTAAACTGGAGCTATTCCTAACTAGCAGTCTGCTGGCCTAGAGTGTCTGGGTTCCTGGGTTTTTGATCTCCTGCACCACATAAACAAATAACAATTAAGCAAAGCCCCACCAGTGGTGACGTAGATTCTCACAAAGTAAATGAACTGTCTTGACCTGACACCCAAAGGCTCTCCTATCTGGTCTCAACTTATGGTTCCACTGTTGTCTCCCTCCACCACCCCCTCTGTTTCCTACTTCCTCCCCACAAGCAGGTTTGGTTGTGTTCATTTCTGCTTTTTCTCCTCTGGGCTTTTCTCTTCCTGGCGATTTGACCCCTTAGAATGTTCTTTTTTTGCTTTTCCTCTTAAAAGTTTTGAGCATCCTCCAAAGGCCACATCAGGAGCTCCTGGATGTCTCTGAGGGAAGCAGCATCTCATCTTAAGGGGGCCGCCTCTCCTTAAGCCCAACAGCACTTTTCTTGGGTCTGTTCTTGCAGATAAATCCGTTTCAGCCATCTGAGATGGCCAATTCTGTGCTTATCTTTTCCTTCTTCTAAGATGGGAAGCTCTTAGAAAGTGAGACCCTTTTGTTGTTTTCGTTCCTCCTAAACACAAGTGCTCATGATCCTGAACTAAGCATCTCTTGGTTTGAATGGGAAGCCCTTTAGTTCTTTCTAATGGATTTTCATTGAAACCAGGCAGTAATGGACTCTCTAGCCCATCTTAAGCCACAGAGTTACAGACCACAGGCTTGGGTTAAGGTTAAATTGGCATATGTGTGTGCCATAAGACATTCCTTTTATTCATGTGACACAGCTATTCTCTTCACTAGTCACAGAGTCCAGTCCTAGATGCAACTTGGATATACTTTTAAGTCGGTAAGCAGTGTGGGACAGGTGGGCTCTCCATACATGCCCTTAAATGTTCTTGAAAGTTTGCACTCTGTATTGTTCACACATAATTCATATTGAACAAAGTCTTCATGGGCTCATCACGTTTTATCTTTGCGATGGTGCATGCTTTGTCTAGAACCGGACAGATGTGCAGTGCCAACACCGATGGCAGAAGGTGCTAAACCCTGAACTCATCAAGGGTCCCTGGACCAAGGAGGAAGATCAAAGAGTAAGTTCTGTTTCCATTAGATGTGTGAACTGTAATTAAGATTATTTCTAAAACATGTTTCTCACCCCAAGGAAACAATTTGTTGTACAAGCAGAAAGTAAAGGGCTCACTCCCATATATGTTCAGTGGATGAAAACAAGTTTATTTTTTCTTAAGTTTTCTAAAGATCTTGTAACATTGAAGCTTTATGACACCGACTCATCCTGTAGCATTAAAACACAGATTATTTTTGTGTTTCCCTGAAGGTTATAGAGCTCGTCCAGAAATACGGCCCGAAACGTTGGTCTGTTATTGCCAAGCACTTAAAAGGGAGAATTGGAAAACAATGTAGGGAGAGGTGGCATAATCACCTGAATCCAGAAGTTAAGAAAACCTCCTGGACAGAAGAGGAAGACAGAATTATTTACCAGGCACACAAGAGACTGGGGAACAGATGGGCAGAAATCGCAAAGCTGCTGCCTGGACGGTAATAATTGGTCAATACATTGATCGGGAAGAGCAAGAGGATGGTCATTGCACATTCTAAGCGTGTCAATGTATTGCAGTCTATCAGTGAGAAGCATGTTGTTAGATAGACCAGAATCATTGAGTTTTAGAAGTGGAAAAGAGATCTTATTTCATGGAGCACAAGTTATTGTCACCTCAGTGGTGACATCCCCCTCAACCTTTACTTCTTCATTTGCAAAATTACTAATAATCTATTTCATGAGCTAATATTAGGATCACAGAAAATGAATGTCAAAGCATTTTGTAAACTGAAGAACTCTAGCTATGTAGAAGGAAACCAAAGACACATAGATTGGTTTGATCCCAGCCAGTTCAGTGACTGGCTATCATTTTGGTCATTCCTCTGCTGTAGTAATATCTATTTCTTACACCTCATTGTACCATTTACTTACTCTTTTTTCCAGTGACTGAAAAAGGCTGTGTATGTAGAATTATCATGCCTATTTCCAATTTCTAACCAATTTCAGTGTAATGTCTTCTTTTTACTGGACGAGGCAGGAAAAGGGCCCCTTTATGAAGGATAATTGTGAAAGTTCACCTTTGACCCATTGTCTGTCTATATTTAAATAGGTATATAATTGATTTTATCAATTTTTGAGAAATATTTTCGCTTTACATTTTAAAATAAAAGAAATTAAAAATATTTTTATTCTTGAGCTTCTTAACCCCAAAGTGGAGAAAGGATGGTTTCAGAGATGGCTTCTTTAGTACTTCCCAGTGTTGCACCAAAGCATTTCCTCCCTTGTGGCTTGAGAGCTTCAAAAAGTCATGGATCTGGTCGAAGGAGATCTTTCCTCCCATGTGGCCTCAGGATATGCTGTTGACTTTTCTAAAAACTTAAGGGGCACCCGAACTTCCTCTTTTTAACACTCATTTCCCCACCCCCATGGAAATAGTAAAAGGGAGTCTTTAATGTTTTTTCTTTCTTTCTTCCTTTCTTTTTTTTTTTTTTTTTTTGAGCTGAGAATTTTTTTCCTGAGAATGGAAAGAATTTATAGTAAATGCTTTGTAGTTTGAAACTATACTAGGCAGTCAAGTGTGGTAGGCAGCACTTGCTTGTAATCCCAGTATTCAGGAGGTTGAGACCCAAAAATCAGGAATTGAAGGCCAGCCCAGACTACTACCCTGTCTCAGGAACACCCCCATCCCTCCCAAAAGACAGAAAATGTGCTGGAGCTAGCTTCTTTCATGTAGGATCCTGTTGAGTCTGGTGGAGAAAGTCCTTACCGCATTATCCAGTCACTTAGTTATAAGAATAATGGGAAGGGCCAGGTGGTGGTGGCGGGCGCCTTTAATCCCAGCACTCAGGAGGCAGAGGCAGGTGGATCTCTGTGAGTTTGAGGCCAGCCTGGTTTACAGAACAGGCTCCAAAGATACACAGAAAATGCCTGTCTTGAAAAAAACAAACAAACAAACAAAAGACTAATGAGAGTGGTTTCCAAAGGTAATAGAGATGTTTTTACTCTAACTTTGTACATAGAGTTATGAGAGGTACAAACGGGGCACTGAGGTTTTGTCATTGCTGTCCCCAGGCTTGGCTAAGTCCCTGTTGTGGTGTCTTGACCCTGCTAAGCCACATTATAAGGGTCTATAACAGCTGGGACTTCAAGTTGTATTAAAGTCCAGTAGCACATGAATGGGCAGAACCTAGAGAAGGATTATTATAGTGAACATCGCCTTTATAAAGGCGTCAGAATGCTAAAATGAAAACAGAATTTGCAGAAAACTCAACACATCCCAGATTGCAGTAGTAAGACAAATCTATGGATTGTCAACTAGGCAGCGGGGAAAAGATCAAGACAATTAAAAGGAGAAAATAGCGGTTATTGGAACCATAGAGATGATTTTTTTTAGAAACAGTTTTCTGTCAATTAACTACGATCTGAAATAGCATTGTTGTCATTTGTTTGGGGTGCCTTTCCACACAGGACTGACAACGCCATCAAGAATCACTGGAATTCCACCATGCGGCGCAAGGTGGAACAGGAAGGCTACCTGCAGGAGCCTTCGAAAGCCAGCCAGCCCCCGGTGGCCACTGGCTTCCAGAAGAACAATCACCTGGTGGGTTTTGCTCAGGCCCCACCCTCCTCTCAGCTCTCCCCAACTGGCCAGCCATCAGTTAACAGCGATTATCCCTACTACCACATCTCCGAGGCACAGAATGTAAGTCCTTCCTGAGAACCTAGTTGGAGGAGGGAGATGGTTATGTCCATTACAGTTCATATATATGAACTGCATGAGTCTGGTCACAGGCTGCCCTCAGTTAGACCCTAGCCAAGGGTACACTTGAGTCTGGCTTCTGTTTCTGGAGCCAAGAATGGAAATAGTTTGTCCTCTGCATAGACGTAGCTCTAACTAGAGTCTAAGTTGTCTGATTCTCACTCCCTGCTCCAGGTGTGATTTAAAGTTAGCTTTTGAATGTAAATGTCCTTAAAATGTTGCTAAGTCTTAACACTGGGTGAATGCAGATAGATTTATAGTCCAATATTTTGCTTTTTTTCCAAAATGAAAAATTAGAAGGCTAAAGAGGATACTATCAAGAAATGTTCATCACAGGCTGGGCGGTGGTGGCGCACGCCTTTAATCCCAGCACTCGGGAGGCAGAGGCAGGCGGATCTCTGTGAGTTTGAGACCAGCCTGGTCTACAAGAGCTAGTTCCAGGACAGGCTTCAAAACCACAGAGAAACCCTGTCTCGAAAAACAAAAAACAAAAAACAAAAAAAAGAAATGTTCATCATAGAACCGTCAATAAAGTGATAGAACTTGCCCGCTGGGTGGTGGTGGCACACACCTTTAATCCCAGACCTGGGGAGGCAGAGGCTACAGGATCTCTGAGTTCCAGGCCATCCTGGTCTACTGATCTACGAGTGAGTTTCCAGGACAGCCAGGCCTATACAGAGCAGAGAAACCCTGCATCAAAAAAAAAAAAAAAAAAAAAAAAAAAAAAAAAAAAAAAAAAAAAAAAAAAAAAAAAAGCTTACCCAAGAATTACAAAGATCATATGCAAATGTTATGTAAAACATACTCATGAATAGTTTTTACTTGGCTGTATCAGTTTCTTAGATTTGACTACAGAATTTCCAGAAAGGTCTCTGGTGAATGAATTATGATAAAAGCTTCTGTGCTTTTTATTAAAGCTAAACATTACTCTAAGAAAAAATATCCCTGGTGACCAACAACTAGTGGTAGCGACATCTCCCAAAACTTCTTTCACGTCTGCACAAATCCTTTTCTCCGTTGTTCCTTTTTCTGATTAAAGAATGCCTTCTGTTGGGGTAGAAAGACCCTTTGGGCTTCTTTCTCTGCGCTTCTTGGACTATTTAGCCACTTTTAAATACCTGACTAAATGTCAAGTTAGAGAAGTTTTGTTTTGGTTGTTGATTGTTCTGTGAATTTTACCAGCAAAGTACTTTTTCCCTTCGGTCCCAGAAGGCATGCGTCCCGGTGACGCAGTCATAAGTCTGAATGACGTAGCCTTTGTTGTGCTTCTTGGTCTAGGTGTCCAGTCACGTTCCATATCCTGTAGCATTGCATGTAAATATCGTCAATGTCCCTCAACCAGCTGCTGCAGCTATACAGGTGAGATGGTCTGAGGGGCAAACCCATTAGCTGAACAAGGCACCGCTCTTAAAGACACTTTATTTCTGCCACGTAAGCACACATGTTACAATCTATAATAGAAAGAAAAGCTAGCAGTTTTGAGGACCTACTTTGGGACAGGTGTTTACCACTGGTGGCTTCTGGAATGCTCTGATGCATCTGTGAGCATGCACACTGGCCTCTGCTTGCCCCTCGTTGCCTTAAGTCCCATATTACTTTGCGTGAGCAGTGGTGAACTTCGTGGGGGTGGTTCTACGTGGAAGCTCTCGCGGCTGTGTTCGGTGCCTCCCTCAGACCTTGTCTTTGCCTGCTTCACTTGCCACTCCAGAGACACTATAACGATGAAGACCCCGAGAAAGAAAAGCGGATAAAGGAATTAGAGCTGCTCCTGATGTCAACCGAGAATGAGCTGAAAGGACAGCAAACGTTACCGGTAAGAGCATCACCGTGTGCTGGGCAACCTTGTCTCTGCACTCTTCTCTCTCGGGTTTCTCCTCTTCTAAACATTGTATCAGCCAAGATCTGTGGATCTGCGAACAATGCTAATCAGAAGTAGCCTAGCTGTTTGTTTTATAACAGGACCACAGTAACCACTTGGGACTATCAGCATCCACTGTTTCCTTCAAAAGGACGTCCATCAATTTAAAGACTAGGAAAGATAGAATGATTGAAACATCTGCCTTTTAACAAAGCTTTATAGACATGTAGTGCCCATTTGTTTGAGTCTTTTTCTTTTACTGTTATTTTCTTAGCCTGTATTTACACATGTTATAATCTCAAATTCAATTTGGCGCGTATTTTGTCTATGCATGCCTAAAAAGGGGTACATAGGTCACTTCTTTAAATGTTTGCTGCTAACTTTGGTTTGCATGTATGAAAGCTGTGTGGCCCATTTCTATTAGTAGTGATAGTGCACGTTTCTGTATACACACACATGTTCCCATAGGTGTGTACACATGTGCATGCGGGTATATGTGCACACATAAGTCCAGGCTAGAGGTTGATAGATCTCTAGATTAAAAGTTTTATTATAATTGTGTCTGTTTGTGCACACGTGCTCACATGCACTTTTGGAGGTAAGAGGACATTTTTTCAGAATCAATTCTTTCCTTCTATTGTGGGCTCTGGGGATCAAACTCTTTTTTATCTGCCTAGCCATCTCGCTGTTCATCCACCTTCTATTTTGACATGGGTCTCATGAAATCTGGAGCTTGCCCATTTGCCTAGGCTGACTGGCCAAGGAGCTCGTGGTTCTGCTTGTCCCTGCCCCTCCAGCACTTGGGTTACAGACTGCTGTGGATGCTTGGAGATCAAACTCAGGGTCTCATGCTTGCACGGCAATCACCTTTGAGAATGAGACATCTCCCCAGTACCCCTTACCCCTTCCCTTTTTTGTACTGATGATCAAACCTAGGGCCTCACATCTAGAAAGCACTCTGACCCTGAACTACAGCCCGAGCCTTCCCGCGGGCCGTTTCTGAATCTTTGATTGGTCAGCAAACTGGAAAAGCAGATTGTACTTTGGAACATATGTAGTTTACCCAAGAAGTGAGTATGAGAGAAGGGGTACCCGGTCGGGATTCTTCAGGTGGAATGTCTTTTTTGTTGTTTTTGTTAAATCATAAAATAACATGAGCGCGGTAGTTCAACCACTTTTGAACTTTTGTCAACATTTTGCAATTTCTCCCCTTGCGTGGTCACAAGGGAAGTTCTGTTAACTTGATCCACTTCCTAACCACGTACACTCTGCAGCCCCACCTTGCATCAGGGCAACCTGTAACCTTAAAAAAAAGAAGCAACAGGATATGTGCAGATAACAGTAGCAGCTCCAACCATAGAATCCTTTCAATGGCTTAGAATGCAAATGGGACCATTGGCCAGTCACAGCAAAGATGGGCAGTTTGCAAATTTGACTCAAATGCCTTTCTAAAACACTCTAAGATTTTTGTGTTTTTCTAGCAGTCCCGAGGTTTTGCATTTGACTAAAATCATAGCCAGTGAAGCAATCCTGTAGGTATAAATTAGAGAGTTATTGCAAAGCTGTCAAAAAGGAAACATCTTGACAACTGTCTGGCAGGCCCGGGTTTGAATGAGGCAACAACTTTTTATCTTGCCCCCAACAGCGCTCGATGCCTTGTGCAACATTATTGCTAAGTTTCTTCTTCCCTTCTTCTCCCATCCTTATTTCTACACACCCTTCCTCCCTCAGACACAGACCCATACTTGCAGCTATCCCGGGTGGCACAGCACCTCCATTGTGGACCAGACCAGACCTCATGGAGACAGTGCACCTGTTTCCTGTTTGGGAGAACACCGCTCCACTCCTTCCCTGCCTGCAGATCCTGGCTCTCTACCTGAGGAAAGCGCCTCGCCAGCCAGGTGCATGATCGTCCACCAGGGCACCATTCTGGATAATGTTAAGAACCTCTTAGAATTTGCAGAAACACTCCAATTTATAGATTCTGTAAGTAGAAGTGCTAAGGCGCGTCGTTTCTGGAAGAGGAATTGAGTACTGATAATGAATCATTGCCATTTTCTATAGCAGATATGTTCTAGCCTACGTCCTTGCAAAGGGAAAGGTCTTCAGGTCTGGCGAGTCCTTTTCTCTCAGAGGTCTGATTTCATGTGCTTCCCACACCAAAGACGACTTTCCATATTTTGCCTTCCGCATGTGAATTTTCTTAAAGAATAATTGACTTACCAGGAAGGGCTCAGGATAAGAACTGTGTCTGAGCTGTGTTAAAACAGAATTTCTTGTATTTTGCTTACTTCTTGTGATACCCTAGAAAATTTTCCTTGCTGTTTTTGTTTTTCCTTTGTTTTGTTTTTGTTTTCGTTTTGACAGCACATTTGGGCTTAAATTTCCTTGGAGCTTAAGACAAACTTTCAGTGTGAGGGTGGAACATAGCTTTCTCTCCAGGATACTGAACATCGATTAGCAACTTCATTGGTTCACTGAAATAAACCATCTTCAGTGAAACAAATTTAAGTTCCGTAAACTCTCATTTTCTTTTCTTGGTCTCCTAGTTGGTTAAAAAGCAGCCATTATTACCATAATGTGTTGTCTAGAAAGGTTTTCTGAGCTGGGCGGTGGTGGCGCACGCCTTTAATCCCAGCACTCGGGAGGCAGAGGCAGGCGGATCTCTGTGAGTTCGAGACCAGCCTGGTCTACAAGAGCTAGTTCCAGGACAGGCTCCAAAGCCACAGAGAAACCCTGTCTCGAAAAACCAAAAAAAAAGAGGGTAGAAGCTGAATCCAACCAGGTTGTTTGAAGATGGGCCCTTGGGAGGTGGCTGGTTTAGAAACGGTCATCAGGTGAGCCCTGCTACTGAATACTCATGGCTTCTAGCCCCAAACCACTTTTACAACTGTATTTTAATTGGACACACTAACAGTTTCATTATAACACTTTCACGTGTTTATATAACAGACTTGAATTATTCTCAATGTCTCATTACTGGTGACTTTGTAAAAAGACAGAGGCTAGCAAATATAGAAGTGTGTGTGTCTGTATGTGTGTGTGTGTGTGTTCTTTCTCTTGCTGTGTGATGCCCTGTGCCACCCCAGAGAGTGCTAACAAGCCAAAATAAACCTCTTTTTCTTATAGAGTAGATCACAATAACTTTTGAAATCTTTGTCTGCTAACCCCAGCACCTGGGGACATTCAGACACCATTTCTATTAACTGTGGCTTCTTCCGAACACTTTCTCCTTTCTTTGTGTGTCTCAGCCATGTTTCTAAAAAACTGAACATTTCAGACAATACACAGGAACAATGCTGGATTCTGATGTTGAGTCTATTGTCTGTTTTGTACAATCAGTAACTTTGGCTAAATCTGTAAAATTCTCCTGCCGTGTACTGTCATCGGGGTCCGTTCAGGTATGTGGGTTCCTAGCATATCTGCAAAGCTCTGTAGTCAGCTACCGATGACAAAAGGTGTGTGCTTCAAATAGCATGAGGTCTATACTACTCCATGCTGGTGGCAAAGGATAAGGGCTCCATTTAAAGTCTAGGCTGTTCTGAAGTCCAGCATGACTTTGTTTGCTGCTAAACCCTTCCTTTATTTCAGCATCATTCATGTCTTAAGGGGCTGTGCTACATTATTTATACATTTTGGCAGGTACAAATATTTTAAAGTGCTAAATTACCATTCTGCCTATATGTGTATGTATATGCACATACCCTTATCTATAAACACATATCACATCATATGTGTGTATATGTATTATTTACATTCTATATCTCAAGAATAAATGTGCATGCCAAAACTCACCTCCTCCTTCACTTGGCCTCACCATTGTGATTGCTTTTGACTAAGTTTTACAGCCTCCAGATTTATAATATGCAAAGTTCCAGGGTTAGCCAGCGTGTGTTGAGTAGCTTATCTTCTCTCTGGTCTTAGCTGTGCATGGACACAGCTTAGTATTAAATTTGCTTTCCCAAATACAACTGGAAATCAGGGTACCAAAGCTAGTAGGCCTCTCTCCAGGCTGGTCACCCAGGTGACCACCTACCCCAGTAACACGACTGGCCAACCCATTGTTCCAAACCTAGCAAACTCCGGTGAGGATAATTTGATATGTCAAACTGACTGGGTCATAGGATGCCTAGTATCTGCTTAAACACTGTGTGCGTGCGTGCATGCAAGCGTGTGTGTCTCTGTGT